AAGCTTTTTGCTTTATTAATGTTTTTGGAGGAACAGAAATGAAGTGTAAATGTATTGGCTGGTGATGAGAAATAGCGTAGGCTTCATTGGCTTTTTATCTCCTAGCAATTGACACCTCCGCAAACCGCAGGATAATCTCTCTCTCATACTCTAGATTGTGTCATTCTCTTTAAATTGCATATTTAAAACAACAAAGACGGTGACTTCATAGGGAACCGCCAGGAGCTGCTCTGTACCCCTCCTGTTTATTGGGGAAACATTTGGGAACCGGTTTGGTTTTGTAGATGGGATCTAAAATGAATGTAGGACATGAAAACTGTAAAGTTGTTTGCAGGTAATCTTATGTTTAGGCATCTTACTAAGGTGCGAGTTTTGGAGAAGGGAGTGTAAAGTTCTTCCGTGGGGAACTAGCTGGGGCAGTTGCAATGACCACTTGGTTTGTGAAGTCTCCTCAGTGGGAGGAGAGCACGTTTTGGGACACTGCACAGTTTAACTGGGTCAGAATGTGCAGATTTTCTCCTGGGGGCTGAATGTCATGTGAGAAAGCTGTCACTAAACGCGTGTTTTTGTGTGTTTTAGCTCCCACATCACCATTTGTTCTCAGGCTAGTGTAGTGGAGATGGTTAATACTGAAAATAATGACTCTCGAGACTGACTGCATTCCATATTCAGACTGCGTATCAGCTCTCTGATTCAGTTGCCAGTGCAAATCTTGCTTTGGATAACATTAGATATGTTTCAGAGAGGTTTCAGCAAGAATTAGAAACAACCAGGATAAAGATACAAATAAGAGAACAATTTAAATAGTTTGGTTATTATGCAAGAAATGGTGATGAGGAAAGAGTAAATCTGGTCTTACAATCTTTTGTTTGGTAGTGCAGTTACAACAGATTTTGCCACCGCTCCTAGTGCTATCAAACATAACTATCTGTTCAGCTTTCATGTTGTTTTTCATATGGAGTGCCTTTTTTTCTGCTAACAAGCATGTCTTTCCATAAACAATCTTTACATGTGGGCAATGTTTTAAGAAAAGAAAATAATGACAATGAGAGAAATTACCTTAAAATTGGGATTGTCGGTTTTCCTATTCTTACTTTTTTATATAATAAATTTGTCTCATGACTGGAAAACCATGTAACATATACTTCCCCAAGAAGGGATTTTATTTCTTGCTGTTGTGTGATTAAAAAAAAAAGAGCTATGTGTAAATGAGGGCATTAATATTGGCTATATACTGTTTTCTCTTTAGAGTGTAATTATAAGGTCCATGGGGAAAGTATCGGTACATTGATTTCAGGGACTGATTTTGTAAGTGTTCAGGGAGTATTCCTTTGCATGTCCTGGTCTAAGCTGCCATGTATGTAAGGCACCGAAGGGTCTGTATTTACATTTCTGTTGCTTCCGAGTGATTGACAGATTTTTATTTAATTTATTTGATTTATGTTTTATTTATTTTACTTTTGAGTATACAAATTAACTTGGAGGATTGGGGTTGAAAAGTCAGCAGATGGAAAAGGAGTAGGAGACAGGCTATACCACAGGGTATCGTTAGAACAGCTTCGTTCTGCAGAGATTTTTTTGAGAGGAATTGGAGGCTGTGAGAACCACAGATTCAAGGACACTTGAGTGCATGGAACAGCATGCACAAAGTAGGGAGGTGTCTGTGGGAGAGGATGAACGGGCTGTATGATATGGAGCAGACAGAAGTGTAGATTTTTCCAGAGGGTAACTGTGAAAGGAGATGGTGAGATCCAGTAGTCTGTTAACAGCTTCACGGGCCCTTGAAAGTTAAAACGGACCGTGATAGGGATGGATGGTAAATAACCACTGTAACTGGTCATCTTGAAATAACGATAACTTGTGCATAGCTGAAGTTCAGCGTTGTCGTTCTGAATGCCCTGAAGGGAGGCAGTGAGGGAGGCTGGGAAAGGGAGGAAATTTGATTTCTGAAGGTGGGAAGTTATCAAGGCACAAATGTTCTATTTACCTATTTCAATGGGAAAGAAGGTATTGTATTGGACTGTGTTGTTTTGATGTTTTTCCTTTTGCATGGCTGACAGGTCTCACCATGTTCTTGTAAACGTGGAATAAATATTAGTGAATGATTGCAAACGGCCTGCTGATAGCAGCATTCATCTGTTTCACTTTTTAAAGAGCACAGCAAAGCAAATATTTTTAACTTTTATATGTGAAACAGGATACAGTTCTGAAATAAATTGGCACAGCTATTTTCCTCTCAACCGAATGCAGGCATGAACTAATAATTAGCAGTTGTATAGCACTATACATCTCCAAAGTGCCTTCAAATCTTAATCAGCGCACCCTAATAGCACACTATTCCTGCAAGAGACGTAAGTAATTAGATGTTTAAAATAGGACTGGGCAAATTCTTATCTGACGCTTATTGTTGAAGTGCCAGTCGTTTGGACAAAGCTGCTCTGTATCACTGGAGTCTCTCGATACTACTGTATGTTAGATGGCTTCAAATACATGTTCAAATACAAAACGTTATGGCCCGTACGGAGTAGAGGCACCCCCTTGTTCCACGACCTCTACAGTCAGGGAGACCTTGCACTGAAGAGTCTTTCTAGTCGCTGTTCCAAGGTACCGTCAAGACTTTTAAACTTAAACAAGAGTAACATGAGATCGGACGGGATCTGAAGGAAAAAGATTTTCTTTTGAAGAGCCTTCCAATTTGCCCATCCAACAAGACTAAAACCTCCAACAAGACTAAAACCTTCATTCCAGTGATGATATTGGTTCAGCCTCAAAGTGATTTCACCAAGAGCTGGTCAAACCGAAGAGCGTTGTAGGAATTGGTCTGGCTGCTGTGTTTTGGACTGTTGAGAGAGATAATTGGTTAACAGCCTAATGCTCTGTCAGTCGCTGTTGTTTTTCCTGCTTTTAAAAGATCAACTGTGCTTTCACTGTTTTAAAGCGAGCTAGTCAGTGAAACAAAGAGACAGAAAAAAGGAAATCTCGGCATAGTACGTCATGGTACAGAAAATAATAGTAAAAAATGACCCTAACATGTCACTTTCCATTGGACAAGCGCGGATGGGAAGCTATGAATACCAGAGTAAGTTTATGTTGTATGATGTCGCCAGTTAACTATTAATGAAATCT